TTAGATTATAATTCAATTCCAGGTTTTCCAAGATATGCTTTTACTTTTACTTTAAATTTTCTTTCTTCTTAATAGCTCCAGGTAGAAAGAGATGAACCTAATTCATCTTTCAACTGCAGTACATATGAAGTTGCTACAGCGTGTGCAATGGCCCTTGGAGCAGAGAAACTCATCTGCATCATAGATGGCCCGATTCTAGATGAATGCGGGCGGCTTATCCGTTTTCTGACTCTTCAAGATGCGGACATGTTAATTCGTAAACGAGCTATGCAGAGTGAGACTGCAGCAAATTATGTAAAAGCTGTAACTCAAGATCTTGCTTGTCTTGCTCATGGCGATTCGAATGACTCATTCCCTTATGCAAATGGGAAGGCTTTTAGCCGGACTCCCAAATTCCAAAATGGTGTCGGCTTTGATAATGGGAATGGATTTTGGTCCGCCGCCGAACAAGGTTTTGCTATTGGAGGTCAGGAAAGGCTGAGCAGGTTAAATGGTTACCTATCCGAATTAGCCGCTGCAGCTTTTGTTTGCAGAGTAAGTTTCCACTTCGGTAATAATCAGTAATAAAATATTTGGTTATTCCACTAATTAACGATATCTTGATCGTTGTTTGTTGCTAATTTGTTTGTGTTTATTTCTGTCAAAAGCTGTTGGTGAGTGGTTCTTGCTTTTATACTTTTTTACTTTTAATGTTGCCGTATTGTAATCAAAATTGCTCTTTTGGGGCACTTTGTGAGATCAGTTCTTTACAATCTTCTGGTCCTGATGCACTCCTCCCCTCTTGAAACTGAACACAGAAAAGCAGCATTATTGGCTCGAGATTTTTGAAGTTTACAATCTTTGTTATACATGTATTTGGTTGTGTTTGTTATCAGGGTGGTGTCCAGAGAGTTCATTTATTGGACGGCACTATAGGCGGAGTCTTGCTTAAGGAATTGTTTCAGAGAGATGGAGTTGGTACAATGGTGGCTAGGTCTGTACTTCTACCTCCTTATCAAATATCCCCCTCAAAGGCATTGATTAAACTATACTTCCTCAAATAGAACGCAAGTTTATGCCTTTTTTCAACCGATTTTCTCAGCGATCTTTATGAAGGAATGCGCACAGCCACAATATCAGATCTTCATGGAATCCAGCAACTTTTGCTACCATTAGAGGAATCCGGCACTTTAATAAAGAGGACTGATGAAGAGGTGTCTTATAAATTTGATCCATCATGTTATTTTGACATGTATCACGTATAATCCCCCGTCCCCCTTTTTGATAAATCATTTCCGGCAGTGCAGCTACTTGAAGCATTGGGTTCATTCATAGTTGCCGAAAGAGAAGGTCAGGTCATTGCTTGTGCTGCTCTTTTCCCTTTCTTCAAAGAGAAATGTGGAGAGGTGGCTGCTATAGCTGTTTCCCCCGAATGCCGTGGTCAAGGACAGGGAGACAAATTACTTGGTATGGCAGTCTCTCTCTCTCTCTTTCTCTGTGTATGTGTGAGAACCATAAATTGAATCAAGGTTCCATTAGCTATGCAAAAGAGTTTGGGCAAATCTTTGCATTTTGATATATTTGTATTTAATAAGAAAAAGTAGTAGATATGTTTCATAGTGCAATGTATGCTGAGTAATGTACCTATTATTTTGTGTGAGTTCATTCTGATGCATAAATAGATTGATGATATTTTTTGCTGTTGAACTTGGTCAGATTATATTGAGAAGAAGGCATCTTCGCTTGGACTGCAAAAGCTTTTCTTACTGACCACACGAACGGCAGACTGGTATGTCATTCTAATCCCTATCATTATATCTCATGTGGAGCATTCATTGTATTGCTGATCAAACATGGTCATGGAGTTTGCCTGAAATTTTTTTCACTTTTTAATCCATCATGTATGCATCCGATGTTTTTTTTTTTTTTTTTTTTTTTTT